TATAGTCTTTGTTTTTCATTTGTAGATATCACCAATCGTTTTCTTATCCATTTGCGTCTGCCATTTTCTTTATAATTTATTTTTACTTTATTTGTACCACCTTCTATTTGATAAATAAAGCTCATTCCGCGATTCCTTTTCAGCATTGGTTATTAATTTTGTATTATCAATGAAATATACTAAGTGACATATAAATCCGAACACCCAGTTTAAATGGTTTTATTTTAATAAAATTTTGTATAAGTACTTAATGAAGCATAATAAGTAAATGAGTGCTTTAAAGTCCTTTGACCTTTAATAATGTGTGGATGCACCCTGATGTCCTACGCATTCTCCAACGCGCCTAGGCATGCTTCTGATCAGGTGGTCAATGTCCTCCTGTGGTATCTCATTCCAGGCAACCACCAACTCCTCTCGAAGTGCTTCTAGAGCCTGAGGAGGACGTTGCAAATTGAGCAATCTCCTACCCATCATATCCCACACGTGCTGAATTGGGGATAAGTCGGGAGATCTTGGTGGCCATGGTAACAATGTGACATCATTATGTTGAAAGAAGTCTATTGTGACTCTTGCAACATGTGGTCGGGCATTATCTTGTTGGAAAGTTGGATCTGCCAGGGTGTCAAGATAAGGTAAAAGATGGGGTTCTAGAACTTCGTGGATACAACGCTGCGCGTTCATGTTACCTCTGATGAAGACTAAAGGTGACCTGGAACCATAAGCTATAGCAACCCAAACCATAACTCCAACAGTGTGATGAACATGTCTTTCAACAAAAAACTGTGGATTCCTCCTTTCACCACGTCGCCTTCTAACCCTGGCACGACCGTCGTGCATGCCTAAACAAAATCGAGACTCGTCACTAAAGACAATACTGTTCCATTCCTGATCCCAGAGTGACCGTTGTCTGCACCACTCAAGGCGATTACGTCGGTGTTCTCGAGTTAGAGGGAGGACCCAATGTGGCCAAGCCAAAACTTCTCATTCGTCGGTAAACACATCGTATGCCAATAGGTCTTCCGTGTTCTGCAAACCATTCATTTGCAATGGACCTGGTAGTGGAGAAACGGTCCCTTAAGGCCAATAATCTTAGGCGACGATCTTCACGGTCTGTTGTTCTACGGCGGCGTCCAGTGCCGCTTGATCTTTGCGTACGGCCTTTTCGAAGCCATGCCTGACAACACCTAACCACAGTGTCTACACTTCTTTGCACTCTAACTGCAATTGCCCGAAAAGAAAGTCCAGCTTCCCGATGTCCCACTATACGGCCCCTATCAAACTCACTAAGTTGACGAAATCGTACAGGTCTCCGTACTCTAGGCATCGTAACCGATCGTAAAGGATGTCAAGAACCAAAATCCGCCAACGTTGATGCTTTACTGCGGCTGAAATATTCATTTTTAGAGCGTTAGTGAATTAAAAGAAAGCAGCATAAAAACCGGAATGTCCAACTGATAAGGCTGAACATTTTTTCACTTGTTATTAAAATGAAACCATTTAAACTGGGTGTTAGGATTTATATGTCACTTAGTATACTTGTGTTTCGTGTTATTTTTATTTTTCGACGTTTCTTGTTCTGTGTAAAAAAATAAGTAAGCTCAGATTCTTGCTTTGTCAGTAATTAGCAGTACTAACGTTTATTTTTGTTAAGACTATATTCCCTACCTGGAAAGTTGGTAGTTGGTCCGGTGAATTTTTCATGCTGCAATCTATAATCTTATACATCTTGTCCACAATATCAGCTGACATATTTGATATTGAATGCACGCCGATTACGGCATGAATGGGCACCGTGTCCGCATAGAAGCATCCGATACCTCATTAATTAAGCTCCGCATGCCTTAGGTAAATGCAATAGGGACTCAAGTATTTGTCAAGAGCTGAGATTCAGTGAGAAAAACAAGCGTGTCGGTGAATCGATGCTTTCAGATGGTAGCCATTGGCCTGCCAAATACGGCTGGACACTGAATACCGGCATGACTAGAATGGCGCTGGTGTGCAATCCGCACAAACGGTCGAGTTGTTGGTCAGCTCCGCGCATGCAGATGAGAAGACGACACCGAGTTCCATACAAGGGTTCAGGCATGTAGGTACAGTGAATTAAAGGTTTTTATTAGATGACTAGATGTTACCCGCGGGTTCGTATGCTTAAAATTGTTAATTGTTGAACTAAGGACCGTATCGTCAGTCAGTCGCCAAACGTTAGATACAAATTCCACGCTGCACTATTGCCTGTCTTAATAGTTTCTAGCAGACCGAAGATTGAACGCTCCCGCACCTGGAATCCCGAGTCGAATGCCCAAGCTCATTAAGCTGATTTGGCTATTTGCGTAAAAAGTCCGCCATTTTGATCTTACAAAATGTTAATACACACAGTATCACTCGCAATGCTAGGACGAATCTAACAGTGCCTCATATGTCAAAGTCCATCACGACGTTTGGACTGTAGCTCGTAAAATAGAATTTCTTGTTTACATGTATAGATACCCACCTGCGTTAAACATGTACATTTTTTAAGGTGAGGCACTTATCGCAGCAAGCTGAAATTTTCAGAGTTTATTCTACATGGATTTCAATAGTTTTTACAATAACATGACTAATGAAATACAACCTCAATTCTTTTTACTGCCCTCCAACGTTGAGGGATGGAAGAGATTTTTCACAAAAAAATTTTCTGCGTTGATTTCTAATTAGCTCTGTTAAAAAGTGACATAGACATTGCTAAAAGTAACGATTTAGCTCATCTCAAAAAAAAAACACAGCCCTAAACCTCAATTCGAACAAAACCTTGTTTGCCTTTATAGGCTGGACACCCTACTCTAAGCATACCATGAGACAATCAGACGGAAAGTATTGGAAACAGTCGTTCAAGGCAATAGTTGAAAAAGAAGTTAAAAATGTTGAAATGACGAAAAATGCTGAGAAGACTTCTACCATATAATCTGTGCTTATATCTTCAAGTACTATACAGGGTGTTTCAGAACTGAGGGATCAATCTTCTAGGGGTTAAAGGGACGCGTTAAAATTTAGAAAGACGATGAATTGCCTAAATAGGATTTAATGCATTTAATTTTTGCTTTTGTACGTGATTTCATCACAACAATTGTTCAAAATTTCTTCCTCCAACCTGAGTACACCGATTTAAACGACGCACATGATTTCGGCGAGCTTGACTAAAAATTTGATACTCGTTTTGAATGATTTCAAATGCTACTGTAATTCGTCCAATTAAGTCTTGCTCTGTTTCTACTGAAGTTTCGTAAACCAAAGACTTTACATGTCCCCACAGGAAGAAATCTAGCGACGTTAATTTGGGTGACCTAGGAGGCCAACAAACTGCTCCACCTCTGGCAATCCAACAGTGCCCAAACCGCTGAGCCAAATACTCACGTAGTTGTACAGCAAAGTGAGCCGGCGCTCCATCATGCTGGAACCACATTTGGTGTAGAACGTTCAATGCAGAAGTTCTGGAAGAGCTTCCTCCAAGAAACGCCGGTAAATAGGTCCTGTTAATCGTTCCGGTAGAAGGTAAGGCCCAATCAAATAATCATCAACAACGCCTGCCCATACGTTGACAGACCAAGGAAAAATTGCATGGGGATTTTCTTTGTCCCAAACGCGGCTATTCCTACTATTAAAAATACCGTCTCTTATTCTGAAACACCCTGTAGTATAAGAAGCGTCTTTATCTTTACCACGAACCATCATATTTCCCGCAAATATCTATATTCTTGTCTAAGATCTGACGCCAGCGTTTCGTGGAAAGTGCAAAGTCAAACCACTCGACGACATTTCTTAGTTATCGTTTTACGAATTACATTTCAGCATCATTAGAGTTTTCCCATTGCCCGGTATCTAGTTAGACTATAGGCCGCGACAGTGATTACCGTAGCGATATGGCGGTGTTTCTAAGCAATGCCCATTTAGATCTACCAATAAATCTGGACTGCGACTTGCCTCATCGACTAATTACTCTCTTTGGAAGTGGAAAGGTGGTAATGAAGAAATCTGTAAACATTCGCGTTGCCACGCGCCGCAACAGTGATACATAAAAATGGATCGGATTTAGAAGAGCGCGCTCTAATGCCTCCATTGCGGTGCTATATCGGTAGAATGGTCGAATATGGTAATGGTGATCGTCGGCCATTGCTGTCTCTAGGGTGAGAGACATCGAAATGTCGCATAAATTAGTAACGCATGAATAACAATATGATTGTAGTCACAGTAAGAGAAGACAGTCGAACAAGGCATGTGCATGGAAATTTGCAGTTAGCCCTGTGGATGTATACGAAGACAATGTTCTAGAGCAGAGTTCCCCAAACTTTTTTGAGTCGTAGACCTCTTGCCATGTTTTTCCGTGTTGGGTAGACCCCCTACTTACCTGATATTGAGTTCCTGTAAGTTTCTAACTGAAGTTTATTAATTGAATTTAAATTAAAACTACTCAAAATAAAATTTTGTATCTGTTATGTAAAATATACGTAACATTAAATAAACAAGTGTCTGACCAATAAGTGTCCGCATTAGGAATAAGTGCCCGCATTGAAAAAAAAATAAGAGGGATAAAATAAAAAAAAGTGAAAAATAATAAAAAAAGAGTTTTCTACTTAAAATAGTACAATAAGCGAGTTCGTTTATTAATTATAACATAAACTTATGTTCTACAATAATTTCACTGTTAGTTTGATTAAAGTCCGCTTCTTATACGTTTAAGTTATCTAAAAATAGGCAAAAAATTAACGAATTTAAGTGTGTACCTATCGTTGAATTTTCAGAATAATTTAAAAAAAAATATTTTCTATAAAGGGGGGTTCTTTAAAAAAATCAATGCGGGCACTTATTCCCAATGCGGGCATTTATTGGTCAGACACCAATAAACATAAAATAAACTATAAATAAAATAACATAAGCAACAAGTCAATATTTTTGGTGAGAAGGATGAACCTGATGCTTTAATAATAAATTATCAACATTTGGCGTCAATTTTGTAAAGGTTAATCTTAAATCTCCTCGGCTAATGATGTCCAGTCTGTTTCTTTTTTCGTTAGGAGATTGGTAACAGCGCTGAACCCCCTTTCCACTAGGTATGACGATGGAAAGGAAATTAAAAATTTCCTCGCTATATTCCATAATACGGGATAAGTAACGGGTATGTTGTTTTGCAGCCAGAATTGCTGATATTCGTTTTTAAACTGAACCTTAAGTTCTTCGTTTGTACTTAGTTCAGTCAGTTCCTCTTGTATTATGACATTCGTTTCTTCTATGTCACCATATGGATTAATTATCCACGGTGGTATTACCATAGTCAAAATATCAAACCTAGATTCAAAATCTGAATAGAGGGCATTTAAATGTTGAACGTAAGTTGAAACGTCGTCTTCCTGGCAGCTTGTCTGTGACAAATTGGGGAACTGAGAAAATTCGCCCCGTCCAATATTTTGCTTCATTAGTTTAACTCTGGCAAGAAACGCTGATAAGATGGACTTTGTTTTAATCAAATTTAAACTGTCGCCTTGTAATTACAAATTAACCATATTAAATTTTGTAAACAAATCTGTTAAATAGGCGATGTCTGTTTTCCTCTTCATTAAATTTTCTTTTAAAATTTTATCTTTAGTATCCAGAAATTCTAAAATGGTCTCAAAAAGTGCAAAAAATCTCGTCAAACATAAGCATTTCGACAGCCAGCGTACTTCAGTGTGAAGGAGTAATTGATGAAGGTGTTCGTCATTTTCTTCACACAACTGCGCAAATAACCGCGTATTCAACGCGTTGCTTCGGATTCGGTTTACTGCATCAATGACTAAATGAAGTGATTCATGCAATCTAACGCTCAAATTTTTAGCAACTAAATGTTGTCGATGGATGACGCAATGTATTGCTAACACCCCTGACACATTTTGTTTTAAATAGCTTATAAATCCACGATAACGTCCAACCATGGCAGGTGCTCCATCTGTAGCTACCGATATTATATTTGATAAAGGAATTGCTTTTTCAATGAAGTAATCCTTCAAAACATGAAACATTGATTCACATTTAGTGTCGGTTATCAAAGTTCTTGCGAAGAGCAGTTCTTCGTAGATTTCTTGATTCATAATAAAACGAACATATGCCAATAATAATGCTGCATTATCAGGTAAAGTTGACTCGTCCAGTTGTATATAGAAATGCGTCGTTTGCAAATAATTACATAAGAAGCTTTCAATATCAGAACTCATTTCATCAATACGTCTTTCAACAGTATTGTTGCTTAAGGGAATTCTTCTAATGATATCAGATGCAGGTTTGTGTAAAACAGTTTTTAAAACCTCTTCAATGGCTGGCAAAATTAACTTCTCACCGATAGTATGCGGTTTTCCGGATTTTGCTGTAAGTAACGAGATATTGTAAGACGCCCGCAAACCATCATCATTTCTTTGTGACGTCGAAGCGAACATTCTGTCCAGTGTAGGTCTCTTCTGAAATTTATATGAGTGTTTGAAAGTATTTCAAATCTTTGTCTGTTTTATCAGGTTGGCATCTTCTCAGATTATCTTGCAGTGTAGATGGTTTCATAGCGTCATTGCCCAAAACTTTGTTGCATAAAAGGCACATAGGCGATTGTTTGTCCGGCAATGATGGAATGAAGCCAAATTTCAAATAACCAACACTGTACTGTCTACATTTCTTTTTAGATTCGGACATGACATCAGTCATCTGTGGGCAAAAATAAATTATTTAAATAAGACAGAAAATCCAGCAGCTGTATATTAAAAATATTTTTTGATTTTTCCGAAAACATTCCATAATTCGAACATCTTGCAACAATTAGCTCGAATTACGGAGATTGCACTGTAATTATATTTCCGATTGTTAAAACTTTCAAAAAGAAACTATTGAGGAGTACTCGTGTAATTTTGCATGATTGAATATTTAACTACTAATAACTAAAGTCATGATTGGCGTAATTTATCTATCTTTGCTAACTACGAGTACAAAACTAAAATTTAATAAAAAATAATGTACTTACTTTTCTCCAGCACCCTCAAACAAAATAACACTGACTCACTATAATTTGTGTGATATACTATCTGTTTATATTTTTTAAAATATTTTCTTAGCACTTTCCTTTTCAAGATTCAGGAAACGAATAAACGTATTTGTCCCACATTCGAATTTATAGAGTGACGAATTGAACAAGCCAGTGCAAGGTAGCGAAGCTCTGAGACTGCGACTCTCAGGTTTTTACAAGTTCAAAATGTATTGCGACCACAAAGCGAATACCAACATCCTACAACTTACACAATTTTATGAACATATATAATAAATTTTTTACCTCATAAATAATGTATATGTTTTGATATTATAAGATAGTATGATGTAAGTAAATAGGTACTATCAGTGTATGTGTTGAGATCCACTATCGTGGACCTCCATATTCATTTCATGGACCCCCAAATTTTTTTTCGCTGACGTAGACTCCTTGCAGGTTGGCATAGACCCCTAGGGGTCGATATAGACCAGGAGTGGCAATCTCGATTATGCTGTTTGGAACTCCTATATACAGGGTGGCGCATCGAAAACGAAACAGACGCATTTACTGGCAGCTCAGTTTTTTTTGGAAAAACGCTCAGACCCGTCGATTTTGTGGGACACAAGTTTGGCAAAAAATCACGTTAGCACGTGCAGCCCCCTGGGCGGGGGTGACACCAACTCTAAAATCTTAAATGGAAAGGGGGGTCGAGTGATACCTTATTTTAAAGGTCTTTCAAATTTCTTCTCAAAGTAGTACAAACTAATCTGATGTACCTATTAAAGTCTACTTTAAGCATTAAACCAATAAATCTTCAAAACTACAGAACTGAACCTCATGTATTTTACATCATCACCTTTAAAATAAGGTATCACTCGACCCCCCTTTCTATTTAATATTTTAGGGTTGCTGTTACGCCCGCCCAGGGGGCTGCACGTGTTAACGTGATTTTTTGCCAGACTTGTGTCTCCTTCGAAAATAAAATCGACGGGTCTGAGCGAAAAAATGAGCTACAAGTAAATGCGTCTGTTTCGTTTTCGATGCGCCATCTTGTATAACAAGGACTTGAGGAAAAATAAATATAGACATCTAATACCGAGAAGCTAGCGAAAAATAATGCTGCGCGTGGTCAGAACAGTGTCAACCTATGTTCTGCATGTCGTAGCTGGTATCCCGTCATTTGATTTGCAGGCTGAGACAGACTATCTATAAAAAGGGCGTCGAAGCTACAAGCGACGGAAGAGAAGCGCCTTTTGTCAGATGACAGGAGAGTTGGGATGCAACTGGCCATGGTGCATGGACAGAAAGTCTGATCCCAGATATTAAAACTTGGATCGACATGGTTGTTTTGACAGCTACCTGAGAAGGGTGGCTGTAATGAGTACGCAAACTGCGTATATTGCAACGAAGTGTAGGATTCGCCTGATCATCTGCTCGAACGTGGTAGATAAGTTGACTACCAAAGACAGCTAGAATTAACGCTCACTGCTGACAATTTTGTGTTTAGTTGGAGTTAGGAATTATTGCTGAGTTTAAAAACACAATCTAAACGATCGTCTTAATTTCTTGTAATGCCCAAATCGAAAATTTAAAAAAAAATATTATTGCATCGAACCTTAAAAGTCGAAATATCTCAAAAACGGCTAACTATAACGAAAATTCCCAAGAGAGCTTTTTTATGTTGAAAAGTGCGAAGAATCAGTTTTTTTATTCAAAAAGCAAAAAGTTGCACTAAAAAAAATGTTTCGGTCATTTTAATACACTACAGGTACAGTAGAGAGCGCCCTCTAGCGGATACAGTAAAACTATGCCCACGGTTCGTTTTGTCGTATCAAAAACCATTTGTATACCAATTTTCACTGTTATACAGCAAATATTGTTCGAAATATTTAAAAAAAACTATTTTAGAAAGTAAATTTAAACACCCTGTATTTCGGAAGCCACGCATTTTTCGACCCATGTTTATATAGACTTTATGCATTAATTTTAAAAGTTCTATCGAATCTTAAAGTTATGCAACAATAAACTGAAACACCCTGGATAATGTACTTCCACTGTAAATGAAACCATTTAAGTGGTCATTTTGTTTTGAATACTGATGTGTAAGGTGTATTTTTTGCATGGGTTTGTATCAGTTGTTTGTTGTAATCATGTTACTATATGCTTCCGCTGTCTATGTATTCGATCAGAGCTGGTATAAATAAATAAAATAAACTTCGTCAATTAAACGAGCATTTCACGGAAACATCGCCAAACCATTAACGATCCACTTTTTCACCCACGATCACGAAATCGACAACGCTGCTCTTGGTTCGCTGAACCTGAACGTACTGGTACCCCCGAAAAAACCCCATCGAATCCATCGGGGCTCGAAAAAAACCCGCGACAGACCGACGTGCCTTGTAGAAACTGGATCTTTACGGCGTTTTCTATCCTCCAAAGTTTAGGACGCTGTGTGGTCCGCGGCCAATAATGGCTCAAGACACCAGCGAAAAAATAACGATCCTCCTGACGATCGAAAAACGTTTTCGGTAAACCAAAATCACTTGTTTCGATTACCCTTTTCGAGATGGCCAAACAAGCCGAGACAGCGATGGATATCGACGGATATCTCGCATGTTTTTATGTCCAATGCCACAACATATATTTGATTTTTTTTAATGCAGTAGATCTGGTTCAATCAGCCGTATTCATAAAAGAAAAGGATATCCTCGCAAGTATATATATATATTCCTTTGGAGAAAAAGGTAGAAGTATAAGCATATCCTTGTTTTTAGATTCATAATGATTACCTTATACTCGCGAGGATATTCTCCAAGAAGAAGTAAAAGGTTGACTGGTATTTGGATCTTGAGCGACATGTGTTGACTTGTTCCAGCTTGTAGTTGACGTACTCTAGACCCTACACAGTCATCCTCAAGTGATGAGGAAAGTATAGAAAATAATGGCAACGACCTGCAGTTCATCGCAGATGAAATTGCCATTGCTCCCATTGTTTTGCAAAAGTCACGAGAAGATGAGAAAGGACGATGTCTTGAAGAAGATGTTGAAAATACGAATCAACATTAGCTACTAAAGGCTTATTAAAAAACATCAACAACATGAAGTTAAGATTGAAGAAAAAACGGATTTAAAAAAACTGGTAATAAAGCAATTAAATTGTTAGATTGGGAAAGAAAGTTGCTGAAAGCTATGGAAGGTGTATGAGTACAATACAAGCAATAACACTGATCAAGAGCCATTTTTATATTCGGCAAGGAAAGATGATGTAATCGGCATGATTGTGTTACGTTATACATACGTGTACATTATATTGTTTTATATTAGCCATTTTTTCCTCAGTTGGCTGACAGCGTTCATGCAAGATGTCTCGAAAGTGTGTAAACAATCCAGATCAGTTTTGTAACGTGTGTGGTGATGTGACTTTTGCGTCTCAGAGACGGTCTATTACTCCACTAATAGCAAAGGCATATCAGCTTTATTTCGGTTGTAAACTAGGTGATCAAGACAAACAGTGGGCACCCCACATCTGCTGTAATACATGTGCTTCAAGTCTGAGGAGCTGGTTAAATGGCAAAAAACGGTCTATGCGCTTTGCTTTCCCAATGGTTTGGAGAGAGCCTACAAATCATATTAATGATTGTTACTTTTGCATGGTACCTTGTGTTGGACAAGCCACAGGTATGTCCAAGAAAAAAAAATCGGTTATTAACTACCCAAACATACCATCTGCGATGAGACCTGTGCCTCACAGTGACGAAAATCCTATTCCAAAACCCCCAGAATCCTACACTTGCGAATCAGAAAACGAATCAGATCATGGCGATCGAGTGATTCGTCAGGAAGAAGATATGCCATAAACGTCAAGAGATCCTGATTTTATACCGAGCACGTCATGCCACCAACCGCACAAAATAACACAGTCAGAATTAAATGATCTTGTAAGGGATTTAGAACTTCCAAAATGTAAGGCAGAGTTACTTGGATCAAGACTGCAGCAGTGGAACTTGTTAGAAGACGATGTTTCGGTATGTGTTTTTCGTAAACGCCACAAAGAAAGAACCATTTTTCAATATGGAGAATAACTTGGTTTTCTGCAGTAATATTAACGGCTTACTGGCGGCTTTAAATATAAACTATAACCCAGAAGAATGGAGATTGTTTATAGACAGTTCAACATTGAGTTTAAAGGCAGTGTTATTGCATATTGGAAATATTTTACGATCTCTTCCTGTAGGGTATGCAGTTCACATGAAAGGATCGTATGACAATATGAATTACCTATTGTCATGCATAAAATACGATGAGCACCAATGGCATATTTGTGGCGATTTGAAAGTTGTTGCACTTTTACTTGGGCTGCAGCTAGGCTACACAAAGTTTTGCTGTTTTTTGTGTGAATGGGACAGTCGGGCAAAGGCACTTCATTACACCAGACAAAACTGGCCTGTTCGTCAATTCCTAGAGCCGGGTCAAAAAAATGTACAGCATATGCCATTAGTAGATTCGAAAAAAATTTTATTAC